GGAATCATGTTTGGTTATTTTGAAAATCCAGGGCTTTCTCAGGGAATTGGGTAATTCCATTGGACTGGCTGACTGCCTGTGCAGTGGCAGTTCCCCATTCCACCAGCCCTGTGGGAGGGTGCCAGCTGAGGCTGCAGGGTCTGGGCTGGCTTAGCGGGGTCTCCTAGAGGAGCTGAGAGCAGACATTGGTCAGAGATGGGGGTATACGGTAGCCAAGCTGAGAAGCCATCATAGACTCCAATGTTGAGCCCCTGGGCAAGTGCAAAGTTAGAGATTAAGGAGAGACAGGAACAGGACAGGAAGCAGGAATGCAAAGCAAGGGTGCAGGGAATTCAATTTTTAAGAATGTTCAGTGTGAATGAGGTCGGTGGCGAAGGAGTTGCACTTACATAGAGTGGACCAACTGATACCAGGTTAGTGGGTAGCTCGTAAAGATCAGACCGAAGGAGAGAGTGGAAATAGTGGTCAGAGAGCACCAAGGGCCTTGAATAACAATCTGCAAGAGGCTCTGGGGACTACTGATCCTTCTCGAATAAGGAGTGAAAGGCTGACCTGGGTTTCAGGTAGGAGGAATCTCCTAGCTATTGGTAGGCTGGGTTGGAGAGGAGAGATTGAAAGCAAGGAGACCATAGCACTTGCCAGTCTGAGTTTAAAAGCAAAGGATGCCTGGACCAAAATGATTCAGATGGGGGAAGGGGAGAGGTGGTGAAGGAGGCAGATGGGAAAGGGTCTGGTGGTGGCTTAGGTGCTGGCTGACCACATGTCTTTGTGCCAGAGATGGCTGGTTTATACCTATTGGCCTGGCACAGGTGAATCATGTGAAACTGCCTTCTGTTGGTCAAAAATGATCACATGTGGTAATTTCATATGCATCAACCTACTATTACAGGGGCTTCCTTTCACTCTTAGAAATGTTCCAGTTTGGGCAGTAAATTACTTCATCATCTTAGAGACTGGAAGATGAGGGAGAAAAAAGCATTTTCCAAGGTTCTGAACTTGTTGACCAGTAGTACAGCCTGGCGCCAGAAGTAACTAGGATTGGGAGGTGGGTGATACTGACCCGCCTTGTTTCCTAAATTTGGGGCTGACTCACACCTCTGACTTCCAAGTAATTCCATTCTCACTAAAGATGGAACACCCCTGAGGACATGTGAAAATATGAAGCCTATGAAGGTGGTTCAGGTAGGAGCCATAACAGCCTGGTTATGAGTACACGGTCTGGGTACCCTGGTGAAATAGGCACCCTCCAGGTGGTCTCGCTGTGAGAAATGCTGTATAAAAAGTGTTTAAAGCTTAGAGGTTTTTACTGAGCAGGTCCATCGGCAGTATGTCCTGGCTTTAGTTTTGGTGGCTTAATAGAGTCACTGTCATGCACGGGCGTTGTGTGTTAGGTACCAGGTGTGCGGGTGAAGAGTTCTAAGAACATCAGAATACTCAGTCTGGGTTAAATCTCTGATGGAAATAAAACATGATCTGCTTACAGATTTATTTATTTATTTTTATAAATGTTCCCATGGGGCAGTAGTATAGATTGAGGGCCAGCTCTGTCATTTTCTCCTAGATGACTTCTACCTTCCCTTCTCAATGCACTACCTTTTTCTGTATATTTCATTGTGAAATGTTTAGTATCTACATTGAATTTTCTCTCAATGCAAAAGAACTCCTGAGTACTATGGAAAATTAGGAAGGTGCAGAAAACAATAGAGAAAATAATGATCATCCCTGATCTTGCTACGTTTAGTCCTAACTCGTCTCCTCCTTCCTTCTTATAATCCCACTCAATTGGAGACAACTGTTAGGTTTTGCTATAAGCTTTTCAGACTTACCTTTTGCATGCACAAACCACCTGGCCATAGAGCCATTAAAAAAAAAAAAGGATCATACTGTATGTGCCTTGTAATGTTTTCATTTAATATAGCTTATCTTTCCAAAGCAAGCGTATTAGTCTACTACTACATATTAGTCACATGAACATGCAATATGTTTCCACACCATGATTGATGGAAATTTAGGCCAAATCTCAATTTGTACAACTGCAAACCATGCTGCAGTTAATATCCTTATTTATTTACTTCATCACCAGGTGAGTACTTTTGTAGGAGAGACTCCTAGACTTGACCAGACTTGTCCACCTAGCTTAAGTTGCCCTCCAGGTTTAACCCATTTTGTTACTCTGTCAACAGTGTTGAGTGTGGCTATTTCCTTAGTTTTCAGCATTACCAGTCNAATCATGGTTAAGGATGAACATCTTTTCATATGTTGATTCACTTTTTTTTTTTAACTGGAGGATAATTGCTTTACAATGTTTGGTGGTCTCTGCCATATATCAGTATGAATCAGTCATAATCATATAATCTTGTGCCTCCCCACCCCCATCCCTCCCCTCCAGGTCGTCACAGAGCACTGGGCTGGGCTCCCTGTGTCCACAGCAGCTTCTCACTTAGTTATCAGCTCTTGGTCTTTCGACAGGTTGTTTATATATTTTGTTCCTGATTTATATGAGCTTTGAGAGTAAGATACTAAAGCTTTCTTTGTATATTTGTGCATATCTCTTAACTATCATTTGTTTTTAAATTTGTTTATGGAGAATCTTTAAAAAGAATGGCATATCTGTCAGTCTTTTTCCTTTATGGATTTTGAATTTTATGTCATGCTTATTTAGGCTTTGAAATTCTTAAAGTGTTTTTGGAGCCCAACAGTCTTGACATTTATTCAGTGATGCAGTAAGTTAACTAACACTAGAGTATCTACTTGATGTGTTGAGTTCCTACTTAATGTGGTGTCATTTCTAACCCCCCTCTTAATTTCATTTTGAGCTCCCTTATGTCAAAGGTGTTCATTCATGACAGTGGCTTTTTAAGAAATTGAATATCACCTCTTTGGAGAACCTGAAAGTTACGGTCCAGTTAAGCATTTGACTAACTTCTTCCAGGAACCTCATGGTTTCCATGGCACCTTTATAACTCTTTTGTAGATCCTGCAGACAGGATGCTTTTTCATTAAAAACTTACTCAGTCAAAGTTGTGGGTTTTGCACACGTTCTGCTTTCCTGAGGTTTGCTAGAACAGTGCCCAGAAGCAGGAACTCCATACTCTCATCTCCCTTCCCATTTAGCTGTGTGACTTTGGGTTTGTCACTTAACCTGTCTAGACTCCTTATTTTTCAAATGCAAGACTCAGTCATTCCCTTAATGCCTCTCCCATCACTGTTTCTTGGTTTTATGATTTCATGATTCTTCTGAATTTCAGCTTAGGGCTGTGGCTCTGCTTATCTGTCATTTCTTTCTTCTAACCTTTTCTATCTTCTGAGCCTCTTACTTGAAATCTTTTCAAGGCAGGCAGTTATTCATTTGGATTCTTCTCTTTGTTTCTGCAGACCCTTGGATGTGTCTGCCTCATTTCCTGGACTCTGTCTTTGCAGCTGAAATTAGAAACCTGAAGAAGCATAGCAGATGCTAGAGTCTTATGAAGTAACAGGCCTAAAATAGCCCAAGTCTACTGGCAGAGGGTTCGGCTGTAATTCCAGTGACAGGTCCTGATGGGGCTGACCTGACAAGGTCCCCAGTTTCTCCTCAGCTTTTGAGGATGGCTCCAATACATCATCATCTCCTTGGCCAAACCCTTGACTTGTATAGTCTCATTTCCCCCTCTTTTCCTCTTAGTGTGTTAGTATTAAAAGCTTTGGGAAAATTTCAGTATAAACCTGTATGTAAATGGGAGTTTAGATCTGCAGAAGCTACAGGCAGGCACTGAACAGAAGTTGGACTGGGGGTGAGTACTGAGTGGTAGGTAATGGGGTGTGGTAATACGTCAGGTGGCTCTAAGTAAGGCATGTGGCTCATTTGATAAACAAATAATTGCCTGGGTGCCCTGAGAGACTCCTGCACAAGGAGAGAAGCAGCCTGGAGTGATGGAAAGAAGGCAGAATAGCAGCCAGATTTGGGTTGAAGTCTCAATCCCTGTGTCAGGAAGATCCCCTGGAGAAAGAAATGGCAACCCACTCCAGTATTCTTGCCTAGGAAATTCCGTGGATGGAAGAGCTTGGCAGGCTACAGTTCATGGGGTCGCAAAGAGTTGGACACGACTGAGCAGCTAACACTTTCTGGGGCTATCCCTTGCCTTTTGTTTTAGGTATATCCCTTACCTTCTGAGTCTACCCACTTTGTGGGATGATTGTAAGGATTAAGGGATGAGATTCATGTATGTTGACTGTTAGGAGGTGCCTTCTTTAAATGGTTTGATAGCTTTCTAATAGTGGGGGTGACTGAGTTACCAGGCATATGCAAATAAGTTGAATATAAGTAAAATTTGTAAATACCCTAGGACACTTTACAGAAAAAGTGTTAAAGAACTTGGGAGACAGAGTTCCTATCAACCTGAGTGTAGGAGGGGAATGCACAGCATTTATATACTAAATACTTGATTAATCAAAGCTGCTATAAGATAGTGCATGTATGCTAAGTTGTTTCAGTCATGTCTGACTCTCTGCAGTCCTATGGACCGTAGCCGGCCAGGCTCCTCTGTCCATGGGATTCTCCAGGCAAGAACACTGGAGTGGGTTGCCATTTCTTCTCCAGGGAGTCTTCACGACCCAGGGCTTGAACGCACTCTCTTACATCTCCTGCATTGGCAGGCAGGTTCTTTACCCCTAGTGCCACCTGGGAAGCCCTGCTGTAAGATAGGCTGCCAGTTTAACAATTCCTTTGTAAACCTCCAGTGCATTTAAATGATAGGATAGGACTGTGTCCAATTTTCTTTGTCCAAGTGGCAAGTGACTGTGATGTGCTCACATACATAGGTGGAGTTTTTACTAAGAATTCCTATCCTGGCGGCACATGTATACCCAAGCACACCTGCTGATATGTAATTTGAATGCACTTCCTCATAAAAACATCTTTACTCTATTTGGAGCATATAGGCTGTGTGAGCTGTCTTGGGAACCTCTCACTTCTAGGGTGGTTTCTAAGGAGAAAGTGAATTCTGAGTTCTAGACTTAGAACATAGAACACAGCTTGTTTGAATATCGATAAAGAAAAGCCTCACTTGATGCTCCAGAAGGATGTGAGACCATGTCATAAGTGCAGTGGTGGTGCAATGAGATTCTTCCTGAATGGACCCAAGAGGTAGTAGCTCCCCTGCGCTGCATTGTAACACACGCCAGGTCAGTTGTAGGAAGACTTCAGTACCTATGAGCTAGGGAGCTACTCTGCTTTGATTTTAAACATTACATTTTGTAGCCTTGGTTTAAGAAAATTGCCTTAAAAGTCAAATAACAAAAGGAAAGGGCGGCATCAGTAGCAGGAACAGTAACCCACCCATGGTGGGGTGGTGGCGATTTCCTGGTTTCCTGCAGATGATGACTGTGGAGCTTATGAATGTTGGTTGTTGAATTCTAGATCGATGTGGAGACAAACCTAATAAGGGATTTAGTTAATGTCTCATAGCTGTTGTTTCCTGGAATCCGTGTCCCTTTGGGCTGTTGTAATAGAACACCATAGATTAAGTGGCTTTTAAACAACAGAAATCCATTTCACCTTGTTGTGGAGGCTGTGAGTCCATAATCAAGGCAGGGGCTCACTCAGCATCTGGTCAGGGATGCTTCTTGGTTCATGGATGGCCATCTTTTCTATGTGTCCTCCAATGGAGGAAGGGGAGAACTCTGGGCTCTTTAGCCTCTTGTAAGGGCACTAATCCTGTGCATGGGGCTCCACCCTCATTACCTAATGACCTCCTAGAGGCCCTCCCTTCAAACACCATCACAATGGAATTAAGCTTCAACATGTGAATTTAAGGGAGACACGGACGTTCAGTCTACATCACTCTGTCATCGAGCAATGACTTTGTTCTCTTGGGCAGACCTGAAGCCTGTCTTCCGTGAACACTCTTTGTTAGGTTCCTTCAGAGGAGAAACTAGGGTTTTCTTTTTGTATTTCCAACACTTGAAGAAGGTTTCTATAGCTTGAGCTTTTGATAAACTCTAAAAAGGAAACTGGTAAGTCTTCTGAAAGATTACTTTTACTAGATGTAATGGACAGGAATAATAAAGAAGTGAAGTTTGCCGAGGCTCAGTTCTGATCTCACCTTTATCTGGCTCAGAAACTTTCAGTTGCTTCCTACAGCTTGAAGTCCTCTGCTCTTGCAATCGGAGGAGGAAATGGCAACCCACTCCAGTACTCTTGCCTGGAAACTCCCAGGGATGGGGGAGCCTGGTGGGCTACCGTCTATGGGGCCACACAGATTCGGACCAACTGAAGCGACTTAGCAGCAGCGACTCTTGCAATGGGTGTGCAGAGTGCTCCTTGGTCCAGCCTTTTTCCTCTGCCTTCCTCTGTACCCCCGATCCACAGCCAGCCTTACAGCAGGCCCCCCTCACCCACATCGCCTGCTGCATGTCCTTCGTGTGGGTCTCTTCCTGATACTCCCTGCCTCTGCGTGTTCAAATCTTGCATGGCCTTCACATCTTTGCTCAGATGTCACTACTGCCATAAGGCCTTTTCTGTGTTGCTGGTTTTTGAGGACCTTTTTCTCCCCTTCCATTTTGGTTTATCTGCACCTAGCATCAGCTGTGCTTTCCACACAGGAGGCCTTACCTCCCGAGAAAAGGCATCTCCAGCCCTTACCCTACCTAGCGAACACCTGGCTTGTTTGTTGTAACTCCTGCACATTCGTTTGGAGGGTTTAGCTGATGTGTGTAGAGACGGTGGACACACACAGACAAGCATATGATTCTTCTAACATTCCGCTTGATAATGCAGTGTCTAAGATGCTTTGTATCCAAGGGAGTTTCCCGGGGAAGCTGTGGGGTGTGATGGGGCAGACATCAGAACCCTACCTAGCTGTAGCTTAAGGGCACACTCTGGGGATGTAGGGGGAAAGCGAACTGCTAGGATGTGTCCCCGGCCACAGGACTGTGTGGCGTTGGGTAATGTTGCAGCCTGGTTATTGCGGTGTTTGCAGCTGCCGCACACACAGACGTGCCAGCGTGCCGTTACTGTGGATCTCTGGTATGATCTGCGGTAGAAGGCCACCACTCCCAGTTAGTCTGGTTTGGGGGTTACTGGTGGAGTGATCTCTTGTTTGGTTATCTGTTTTTCTGCATACAAACCACCCCAATATTTAGTGGCATAAAAACAGTAGTCTTTTTTCATCTCGCATGTCCGTGGGTTGACTAGTCACATGTGCGCCCTTGGCCGACTCATCTGCTCTCATAGCTTCACCTTCCACCTGTAAGCATAAGACCTCTAGGCTCATTTCTTAAGCCTTCGATCCCTTCCTGAGCTCTAAACATAAATATCCAACTGACTGCTGGCATAGTCGGCAAGATTCCCCCAACCTTGGTGTTTCTACAAGGGAGCTCTCTATCTTTGCCCTGAATATGAAAATTATATCATTTCTCTTTAAGTCTCCAATGCCTGCATAGTATATGGCATAACCAGTAGATTCTGAGTAATACTTGATGAGTTAATATGTGAACAAACACTTATGTAGACCTGCCGGTTGGAGAAGAGATAAATAATGGTTCCATGTGCAGTGGAAAATGAAATGAGTGAACCAGATCTACTTTTATCAAAAAGGATAAATAACAATGGTGAGTAGGAAAAGTAAAATTATGTAGTCTATAGTATATGCTCAAGGCCCAGGAGATGGTGATGGGACAGGGAAGCCTGGCGCACTGCAGTCCATGGAGTCGCAGAGAGTCGGACATGTCTGAGCGACTGAACAACAACAATATATATGCTACCATTTATCTAAAGTATACAGCCCCAAATATTGTGCATTTCTGGATGTATATTTTTGTGTTCCTAGGTACTAACATGGATGTGAGGGAACTGTTAATATTGACTATCCTTTGGGGGTTAGAGAGCAGGCAATTACAGGGGGATGGAACACTCCATGGTAATATTAAATTTATTTTTTAAAAAATCTAAGGTGAGTAGGAATAGGCTATAAAATGTTAACTGTGTTTTGGAGATATAGATGTCTGCTCTAACTCCTCTATACTTAAAAAAACTGCAATATATTAATTTTTTTTTTTAAATAAAGGAGAGATGGTGATGTATCAGGGTCAGCAGGAATAAATGTAGTGAGCCTCACTGAGAAGTTAAGTCGGGACTTGATGAGGGTCACACTTCTGTGCCAGGGATTAGAACCCAGATGATGCAGCCCCGTCCAGCTGATCTTTCCGCTCCCCCATGTCATCGGGTTATACTCGGACCTAGAATATCTGGTAAGCGTAATCCATCATTTTCCAGTCACACTGATGCTGACTGCCCATCACTTGTGTCAGTCAAGCTCTGTGCTGGGCGTGGGATAGCCAGGGAATATTTAGGGCTGGGCTTCTTATACACTGTTCTGACATCTCTTTAAGGAGGCTCTCAGTTACCATCCCTGTATTACCAGTGGGTCTCACAGATGGTTTAATAGATGCTCACAACCAAGGCACTGCGTGTGATCCCAGATAGCTGAGGAGAGAAAGCCCCGCATTAAGAGGTGCTGGTCCACTTGTCCTGGTGCCCCTGAGGGCTGGGAGCTGTATCTGAATTGTCCATGCATCTGTCCTGGCACCTGCCACCTTGGTGCTTAAATATTTATTTGAATTAATGGACCCAGGAATGTTTTATTAATGTGGCGTTGTTCATCAGCATGGGGCCAAAACCTTCTCCCTGTTTGCTGAGGGTAAAATGTGATGCTGTTGGCTTAGAAAAGTCATAGCAGAGCCTGGAAAGAGACCTTCCACCTGGAAAGAGTTTCCTGGGAGCAGCAGTAGAGGTTGCTTTGCAGTCCTGATATGAGACCCACGTGCTGGTGGAAATGCCTGGCTGTTTACTTCAGCTTCCCCGGGGCTGGTGGCCACAGCTCCTTTCCTTGCCCCGTTGGGTAGGCAGCTTGATTCACAGCACCCCCTTCCCCACCCCCAGTGTGAGGTGAGGTGCTTCGCTGTCAACTCAAAACCAGCATCTCAAAGACAGCTGATGAGTACAGAGGACCACATTGCTCTAGGAAGGTAGCCTGAGCCTTCTGGAGACATTGCAGTATATGGGGGGTGGGAATGGATATGGTCATTATGTTCTCCCTTCTCCCCTTCTCATGTCAACTGTGTTAACTGTTACGGTGATCAGAGCTGAAATAGAAAGTACAGCCTCTCAGAAGCTAGCTTAGGACAAGGCAGAGTCCTACTCCATTGTGAGTCGTTGCTCTTCTCTGTGGGCGATAGCTCTGTCATCAACAGCCTGCTTGTGTTAAATGATCTTCGTGCACTCTTATGCTGGTTCCATCACCATATAGCTGAAAGTTTTAGCTGATGTGATCTCAGTTTCATATTACGTATGATTTCCAGGAGGCAATAACAAGTGAATGGCTGATGTCCTTAGGAAAAAATAACTAGGTCTCATATTCATTGTTTAGCCTGGGAGTGGAGATGGGGCTGATTATTAACTAGTCATTACTCTAGGTGTTAGAGATTTAGATCAGAGTTTGTAAAGTTCTAATGAATATGTGATGTGTGACGGCTTTTCCTGTTATGTTTTTGGCTTCCAGATTAAACTACCAAGTTTGTATGTTGGAAAAACTACCACTGCCCACTCATAATTAATTACCCAGGCAGAATGAGCAGGAAGGGCTGGGAGAACTGACATTATCCATCACACAGGGAGGGTAACGTGGGCATGTCACAGTTCTGAATGGGGAAGTGGGTGACGATGGATTGAAGCCCCGCCTCGGAGTTAGGAGACCTGGGTTCTAGCCTTGACTCTGCAGTTTCAGAGGAAAAGTGGACCAAGTCACTTAAACTTTCTCAGCCCTCCTCTGCCCCTTTGTTTTGCCAGAGATGGAATAATATGAACTGTATTTTTCAGAGGCGTTCTGAGGTTCACACTAAAGGCTTAATGTCCTCCCAGCTATAATCCAGTTCTGTTGTCGTTACCATCCCAGCAAGCATCAGGGTTCTCTGGCAATGTGGTTGACCCTTGAACAACACAGGTTTGAACTTCGTGGGTCCACTTATGCATAGATGTTTTTCAGTGGTAAATACTACTGTACTACATGGTCATAACCGGTTGAATTCAATGATGTCTATATAAGAGAGTGGACTATAAATTATATGTGGATTTTCGGCTGTGCAGAGGGCTAGTGCCTCTACCCCCTGTGTTTGTCAAGGGTCAG